TTAGTAATTTTAATATTAAAACTACATAAAAAAGTATAATTCATATTAAAAAACACCATTATCCTTTCTTGATCTTTCAATTCATCGATTTAATACCAAATTGGACCCTCTGTTAACAGCATGCTGATGTGGCGATGAACCTTGTTAGGTAATTCATCATTTTTACATAAATTAAGGAAAATGATTAAAAAAATATTTTTGTATAACTTTATGTATTATTTAAATAATTAATTTTTTAAATTTATTTAGAATTTATGATATTAAGTAAATTCATTCACTTAATGATATATAAAAGTTATATAAAATATTATATAAAAATATTATTTCTATATTACTATCGCATAAACTATAATTACATGGAAATTAAAAGGCTAACGTGAGTTCTTTTGTTTTTAAGTTGTAGGGACCATTTTGATATCAAATGAAGTTAGGGCTCAAAATTGTACTTAAACCTAACAATATCAAGAGTACTGCTAGATACATTCAATAATTATAAGAAAATAGAGGAAGCATAACCATAGCCACCACAATTCTAATGATTGGATCCACCAGTAAGTGTCATCTTGTAGGGTGGTTTAGGCGTCAAGTCTAAAGCTCAACATCCAAAAAATTAAATTTTTTTAAATGTATCAAATTGTTGTGTAGTGTGCGTTCATTAGATCACTTGAGAAAAGATTGGTCTTGTAGCTAGTGTAGGAAACCTAACCTAGATACATTTTAACAGTAAATACCAAAAAAAAAAAAAAAAACCCTAATTGACACTACCATTCTCCCACCCATCCTCTCTTCCTCTTGTTTCACTCTTTTTTTTTTTATGGTTTTGTTTAATTTCTTTAGGTTTTTCTAGAAGGGTCTTATATCCCTTTAAGGCTGGCTATTGCGAGAGTCATCATTTCAAACATGATTCATGTGGGTTTTATTGATATTTGATATAATTCTCACTTAAGGTTTACAACAAGGGAGGTAGTTGTTAGATGCCGTATCGTCTTAAAATACTTTAAGCAGTGGATTATCTTAATAATTACTTTTGCATCTTTTGATCCTTATGGATTACGTTAACTTGTGGCTTCAAGAAAGAAATTCAACTATAATATTCATGTAACCAACAGTTCTACTATCACATATGTATTTAACAAAATATTTTACACTTTTAGGATTTGGTTTTGTAGTGCCTTTGGTACCCTGCACTATGTAAGTTAACTTGTAATTTTTACAATTTTTTATGAATTTACCTTTCCTCAAAAAATAAATTTATGTATACTATTTTTACAATATGACATATGACACTTAAGTTACTAATACATATTGTTTCCTAGGATTTATATAAATATAAAAGAGTAGAACTAATTACAAAATGCTAGATTAAAATATTATACCATCAACAATATATTAACTTCAAAACTTTAATTTTAAATTAAATTACAATACTAAGAGCAACTAATTTTTAATGTACTAAAAAAATATACTACTATAATTAAAAATAACTTGTAAATAATTGAAATAATTTAATAATAATTTTATTTTAATAAAATTTAACAAAATTAAATTTAAATCACATAAAAAATGAATAATGTGAAATGAA